TAATGTACAAGAATCTGAATTAATTAAGTCATTTTCAGTATTTTTGAATAAGGTTATAATATTTATATAACAAAAAAAAACACTACGACCTGTTTTTTTTAACACAATCAATTTAACTGGTCCCGTCTAGCTGGATTTCGACGAAAATTTTAAATTTTGAACATGTAAGTTGCCACTTAGGATATTTTTATCATTTTAAAAAATAAAAAATCTATCGAAATATTTTAGAAATGAAAAACATTACCCGGAAAAAACTGAGACTTTTCCCCCGAAAAAAATGTGGTCCGGACGGCTGAGACTTCCTCGCTCCTTCCACGCAGTACGCCTCCACACTTCCTCACTCCTTCCTCTGGCAGACAAACCTACATCTTTGTTCCTAGCGTTCTCCACACCCGTAAAAATTGAACACTACACGGGCCTCGTACGTACGGGATCCATCCAGATCTTGTGTGAATCTCACGTTTTCCATGAGAACTATTTGGTGCACCGATGTGGCCTTATCAAGAAGGATCCCAGCTGGTGACCACAATATCTATGTCCTCTGCAGGACACAGCACACCTTCTCCTCCCTCCATTGCATGCAACAGCGTTTCATCCCCCATCCCTCTCTGGCCTTTTCAAGATTTAATTTTGATCCCTGCAGTAGTAGTAGTAGCTAAGACGTGTCTAACATCACTTTGGTTTGTTCTGTCAACATTCTGCCAAATGTCAGAAAGGTGATTCATCTCTTATGGTCCTAGAAGTGTTTAATTTTGATACGGCTGATATATATGCGCCATCATCTTATTTTCATTTACATTGTGGAAAATATGACTAAAACCATTGTGCCTTATTCCGCACATGTTTCAAGGAGAACTGATTTCCTATCCTTCAAATACACAAGTAGCAAATATAAAAATAGCTTTATTGGAAATCCTATTATCTCGAATGTTTCTGGTAACACCGAGTAACGATGACAGAGACCTTTGAAACGTTCCCAACGTTTTATACCTTGTAGCAGCTTGCAAAGAAAAATGATGCATAGCGCTCGCTGTCGCATGTGACCAAGTGTTGATGCTCAAAACACGCATAACACGGTTAGCACCACATTTTCTTGGGTCAGCTTACCGAGTGTACCCGGTCGTGAACGCTGATGTGGTAGCTGGTGGTTGGAGGAGACGGTGGGACCTACCTTGGTTGTTCAACCCCCGCTGTTTCTTTGCAGATCTTTTGGGGCACTCTAGGATTTGTAAATAGGAATCCGTCTTAAAGTCGTTCTTCATACAAAATATTTAGAAAAGGTTTTGACAGAAAGTGTTCTCAGTTTGTGCTTAGAAATTCCATAGCTGTTTTTTTTTGTTCTTCTTTTTGGAAGTTGAATCATGAGATTTTGATGCTAAAGTTTAGGGCTCAAAGGTGTGCTATGATATTATAGTCGATGGTGTCAGTATATTTCAAATTTTTTTAGAATCTTTTAGCGTCGATGGATATGAAATAGTCCAAATTTTGTGTTAATATTATTTTTTTTTTATAACCAACAAAAAAAATAAGATCTGGTGTAACGATCTATATGATAATTGATCTATTAATTTTATTTAACCTAAATTATCAATCAAAATATTTAATTTAAAATTAAGATAAATGATCCATCAATTTTATTTGATCCAAAACATTGATCAATATACATAAGTTGCACGTGATATAGTAGTATATTCATCATACTTTTATAAGTTATTTAAGGTTTGACTTCCTCATCAAGATCCAATATAATTCAAATTAAATCATAACATAATACATATGAGATGTAATTAGTAGTGGCTTCATGTTTTCATCCATTAAACCTTAATATGATAAATATGAAGTGTAGCCCACCGAGTACTCTTGACTCTATCTACAAATAATTTTTTCTTACTCGAAATAATTTTTTCCGTAAAATCATAATTTAAAATGTCATATTGACATAAGTTGTGGAGCCTTTTTATCTTGGCCTGTATCACATGAAATTATCAACCTCGGTGGGCCACTTATTACATCATGGACGGTGTGAAAAACCAACCCACAAGTGCTTGTACATGTAAAATATTCTCCACTATAATTAATCTATTCGTTCGTCCAATTATTGACATGGACAAACAATGAAAACCTTTCAAACTTTACTGCAGCTGTTGAAGTCTTATTCTCTGGGAGCAGAAATGCAGTGGTCCACACACAGAATGCGTTCGTTCTCTTAGTATAAATATGATATGAAAGGTGGTCACCAGGTCTCCTCCAGTGCTTGTTTATTCGGAAATGGTGGGTTCCTGGTTGGAAGGATGTGGTGGGTGATCTACCCTGTCAAGAAAAGCCTGCAGTCAAAAGACTCAAAGCCTACTACATACCAAACCATTCGTTAGTCCAGGCATGGCGGCATGTGGACTTGCGCACATTTATTTATTTTTTTAAAATTTAATTTGGTGACACTATACATACCGAAAAATATTTATTTTTCTAAATACAAATAATTGAGCTCTTGGATGACGTAAAGGGCTCCCTGAGCAATCGTTAGTCGCACTCTATCGATTGCTCAGGTATAAAAGCCAACCCCAAAGCCTAAAATGATATACATCTTTACTATTTTTACTCTCCAACTGATTTTACCATCGAGATAAGTTCGGAAACATCCCCCGATGTTGATCGCTTCTGCAAGCATCTGCTAAGGCATATCTCGGGACAATACCGAATCCGTCTTTGGTGAACAAATAATGTCTCGGAATCATGTCAGATTCGCTTATCACTCCAATCTCTCATATGACCTCTCACGAGTCTTTTGGATGAACTTACACCTTCGGAACTAAATCAAGCTATAACGAATCCATAGACAAAGACATGTATAAACTTTGTGTCATGTTAGCTAATCTCATAGCACGTTTTAGAACTGAGTGCAGCACCCAAAAAAAAAAAAAACATGTCCTTAGTAGACGGACATAACAAGTTAAGCAAATTCTTTAGATATTGACCGTTACAGATTACATAGCACATGATCCTACTGAGCTAGCAAATTCATAATCTAATTCAATGCTGCACTGCTATATATATATATATATATATATGTTTTGCAGAAAAAAAGAAGTTTCTTGGATGGCAACCACGAGGACGACGACGGCTTAAGCCATTAAACTCAACCAAAACGGAAGGCGAAACGAGCAGTGAAAGAATACCAACGGAGTGAGCCCCAGTCTTCCTCTAAATGCTGCAGTGAAAGTTAACACCATTTACACAAGGATCTCCCGGGATACGATGATGAGCACCACGCCGCAGAAAACGTCAAAACACAAAAGGAAGAAGCACCAAGACGATCCGATGGAGCATTGTGAACGCTGGAGAACCAAACTTTGAATTGACTCTCCACCATGTGACGAATCGTGTACTACGTACGTTCCCTGTGTGACCTAAACATCGTGAAATGACGATCGAGCATATGATTCTGGAAGAAAAACTCACAAATCTCTCTTCATAAGAAGACGTCGCCATGGTTTCTTTCCTGCGCGGGAACGATAGCAAACCGAGGTCGATTTTGGACTCTGGTCTAAGTGGTCTGCGTCATCGGTGAATCTTAGTCATCGTTCCTTCGTCACCTACAGTCGTTTCAACCCTCCCACCCAACTCTCTTCACCGAAGCTTCCCAATCCTCCCTTCCTTGAAAATCCCCGATTTCCACGAGGGAAAGATTGATCTTACTGCTTAAATCAGAAGCCCGCCTCACGTGCTTCATCTGGGAAGACCGGAGCAGATTTGAATGTTGAACTGGAGTTCGCCTGTTTGACATTTTAAATGTTGAACTGGTGCTCCGACTATATATAATTCCACCCCCGGCATGTGTCGTCCATTCTACACGGACACTAGCTCGTGTTCTCCCTTCTCCCCAGGCTTCCCAGTACTCGCCTAAGATCGTAACGTCGGCAATGGGGCTCCACGTTGATGAACACTCAAATTACAATGTCCTCTCCAGCATCGCAACGAGCGATGGCCACGGGGAGAACTCCTCATACTTCGATGGCTGGAAGGCCTACGATAATGATCCTTTCCACCCCATCGACAATCCTCAGGGGGTCATCCAAATGGGACTTGCAGAAAACCAGGTAAATGCTGTTTCACAACTAGTTCGGTAATTATGGTAGTTTTTTCATGGCCTATGGCCAAAAATATGCCTTCCGTATTCTCCTACTACTTGGAATGCTAACGGGTGCTGCGTTTTCCTTATCTCAGCTCTGCCTGGACTTGATGCAGCAGTGGATCAAGCAGAACCCACAGGCTTCCATTTGCACCGGCGAGGGCGTTTCCGAGTTTAAGGACGTCGCGAACTTCCAAGACTACCACGGCCTGCCAGACTTCCGAAAGGTAATAACCATCACAGTGCAGCTCTTTAGTTAGTCCTTATCATGTCATAAACTGTGGACCCTCGAGAATAGATTACATCACTCAGATAAAAGATGTGCGCATTATGACTCACGTACATGAGTCCAGAACTTGTATCTACTTGTAACGACGTCAAGAGGATTCTGGAAATGGTGCCTGCTGGGCTAGGGACAACCTCACTAGATTGCTTTGCTGTTTCTGAAAGGCTAATGATGTGATTTGTGGAAACACGCAGGCGATTGCTAGGTTCATGGGGAAAGCGAGAGGAGGAGGAGCTACGTTCGACCCGGAGCGCATTGTAATGAGCGGCGGAGCCACCGGAGCTCAGGAAACCATCGCATTTTGTCTAGCGAATCCTGGGGAGGCCTTCCTGATTCCAACGCCATATTATCCAGGGTACGTAGACCTATCCTACATCAAGATTTTATGTTTTATGTATATTTCACAGTGACACTAATCTGTTTTAAAGAAAACTGTTTGAGGATGAGCCGATCGAACTACGGAGGCAACATTAATATAATCCAGCTTACTGGTATAACCAAAAAATTAGTAGTCAATATTTGCCATCGCACGACTGTGACGTCGACAAGACAGTCTCAGTATATTATATTTCTTAATTAATAACGCTACACCAAAACCATAACCGACCTACCGGCCGCTTGAGGTTTCTGCACTCTCCGGCCTCATTATGGATCTATCGGTTGATATATATATATATATATATGACAGCGATTTCACATTTCCTGCAGCTTCGATCGAGACTTTCGGTGGAGAACTGGAGTTCAACTCCTCCCTATTCAGTGCCACAGCTTCGACAACTTCAAGATCACCGAACCCGCGCTAGTTACTGCCTATCAAAGGGCACAAACAGCTAACATCAGGGTTAAAGGAATCCTGGTAACCAACCCTTCAAACCCTCTGGGTACAACCTTGGACAGAGAGACACTGAGAACCTTAGTGAGCTTCGCCAACGAGAAACGGATCCACTTGGTGTGCGACGAGATATTCTCGGGCACCGTCTTCGACAAGCCTACCTACGTCAGCGTCTCCGAGATCGTGGAAGAGGAACCATACTACGACAGGGACCTAATTCACATCGTCTACAGTCTGTCCAAGGATCTCGGCGTCCCTGGATTCCGCGTGGGTGTCATTTACTCGTACAATGATGCAGTGGTCAGCTGTGCTCGGAAGATGTCCAGCTTTGGACTGGTCTCGACTCAAACGCAGCACCTACTGGCTTCCATGCTGGGAGATGATGACTTCACAACCAAATTTTTGGCGGAGAGCAGGAGGAGATTGTCGCGCAGGCACAAATATTTTACTGCTGGCCTCCACAGAGTTGATATCAAATGTTTGGAGAGCAATGCGGGGCTATTCTGCTGGATGAACTTGACGCATCTGCTAAACGAAGCCACGGTGGAGGCGGAACTCAAGCTGTGGCGAGTGATAATTAAGGAGGTGAAGCTCAACATTTCACCGGGGTCTTCGTTCCACTGCTCTGAGCCGGGGTGGTTCAGGGTGTGCTTCGCCAACATGGACGATAACACCATGGAAACCGCATTGAAGAGGATCAGGAAGTTTGTGTCCCCCGGGAATCACACTGCGGCTGCGCAAGCCAAGAAGAAGAACAAGAGGTGGGACGCGGCGCTCCGCCTAAGTTTGCCTCGTCGGTTCGAGGAACTGAGCATCATGACACCTCGCCTCATGTCTCCTCACTCGCCCCTTGTTCAGGCCGCCAACTGATGGTGATGGATGAGCGTGGGCGATATTAACCGACGGGACATCGCTTAATTTCCCCTCTGCCCCATCAGCAGGTAGTGTAGAAACAGTCCTTATCGCTCTCGAGTCCTTGGAAAAAGGATGCAGAGTCCTTTACAAACGTCAAAAATTTTTTTTTTTCCGTTTTTTAATTCCTGAGAAATGCTACTGACCAATGTGTCACAAATTTCTTTGTTCTTTCTCATTCATATTATTCCGAATAAGGTGGGGAAGGTGCACCGTAAAAAATCCCTTCCCCTTTTTAGTTGCAAAAGCAATGTATTCCGGGTGAAAGAAACATGGATTCCTTGAATTCAATAACATCTTTACATAATTCTTTAAAGTTAAGTTGGGAGTAGTGTTGATAAGAACTAATTATAAATTATCTTTTTTTACTTAAATCTTATTAGTATCGTAATTTCTATACTTAAAAATTTTGTATTAAAATTTTTATAATTATAAAAAAATAAATTAAATAACTTCATTTATGCTAACGTCATCAATTGCGTTGACGAAAAACATAACACGTGACAGCACGTACTGAATCGACACGTGACAACACGTTTCTAATTATTTTATTAGTAAAAAGATAATTTAAACAACTCACGTGCTAAAAATGGAAGGATATTAAAATTATCTTTTTACTCATCATTTTTATATTGATCTAACAACTGGTATCAGTTGTTGATAGGATCCAAGTACAAGAGATAATATGTGATTAGCATGTACAACCCAATTATTTCGATCCTCATGTAGCATTTTCTATTGAAAAATTAACCTTTTATTTCCATTTATTCGATAAATGAACTAGGATTTGTAACATTATGCGTGAACATGATGCAAAATATTTGTTTCAGTAGAGATATCGAATCCATATGCACGAGAATCTAATTTCCAATGTCAAACTAAGAAGAAGACTAGTGCATGTATCTCCTGGTTTGGTCAAACGGAACAGACATTTGGGTACTACATAAAACTCCATGGTCAACATAAAGCCACTGACCAAAGTAAGAGAAGAAAGAGAGAGAGAGAGAGAGAGAGAGAGAGAGAGAGAGAGAGGAGGAGAGTAGTAAGTAAA